TCATAGTCATTAACATATTGGGAATATACAGTAAGACTTCATATCTTAAAGAGCCGTTTGATCATGTACTTACTGTCCATGCCAGGGAAWGGTAATGGTTGACATCCTATCTGATTCTTGAGTTGGAACTCAATGTCCAACATGATGTCGGAGATTCCCGCTACGATATCCTGCATTCTGAGACCTTYGCTCTCTAGCACAGAGACTTAGGCAACCAAACTACGAGATAAAGTGTTCAGAAACAGTTATGCATTCATTTAGAAGAGTAGAATTTGAGACAAAATTCAACAAAACGTAAAAACTTTACAACTTTTGAGAAGCAACTCGAGAATGAAATGTAACCAAGCCTTTGGGTCAACACAGGGAATCCAGTCATTTAAAATTCCAAAATAATGTTACAGAATTCTTAATTATCAGATTCATATGCATAACATTTATTAATTCCTTTTCCTATCAAGTAGTTTAATTCATCCAGCTTCAATTTTTCGTAAAAAGCTACCTTCAAAATTTATGTTTTTCCTTTATGAGGATATTTTTGATTTGGGTTACCTGTGGTGGATTTTCGCTTTTTACTTTTATCGCTGGCTCATGTTCATATAACGTGTTCAAAATCTAAGAAATTGTTTATATAGTTTCTCTTGTTTTGTCTYAAATTTACGTCTTAGAAAGCTCAAAATGTCGAGAAGAGGTAATTAATTCAATCTTCATTCCTTGTAGTTTTGTTTTACTATTGATTTAATCTCCTGTATTTTTGATTTTTGTGTTTTCTTTTGGCGTGAAGGAGGACGAGGGAAGGTTTCGCACAAAGGGAGAAGGAGACACTTTACCGATGAAGAAGATCTAAAACAGGATCTAGAAAAAGCGAAAAGAGAGCAGGAATGGAGAGTAAGTTGGTGCTATCACGCCTAAACGAAAATGTTTTGGGTAGAGTCCGCATTCACTTTAGTTTTTTGAATATTTTGTTTATATGTTTGTGTGGTTTGGGCTGATGCAATAGAAGATTTTAGCTTGTTGTTAAATCGAAAATATTTTTAAAATCTAAATTAGGGACTATCTAATTCTTATTGGAGGGGAACTCGTGGAATTTAGGAGGTGGAGGAGAAAAATCAACGCGTGGATTAGTGACAGAAATCATCAAATCAAAAATCAAATCATGAAATCTTCAATGAACCTCCTGGGGACCAGGGATAATGATGGAAATGGTTTCATCAAAATAACGAATAGTTCGAGCTATGTAGAGTAAAATTGTAATGACACAAGTCAACATTCAACAGCCTCAAGTTCAAAATAATGAGAAATTTGARATATCCAGGGTTTGAGTTACTGTAATGGCTTTACTGTAATAGGATTTACCTATGACATTTCACCACTAAATCCAATAAAATGTTGATTTTTTTATGGAAAAGGAAGAGAACTCCGAAAAACCATCAAAAGCACCAGAAAAAATAAAAAATAACTTGATGTAGATGCTAACCCAAGTTTGGGATTTTATTTTCTTGCATGTTAGGAAAGAAGAGGAGAAATTCCTTCAGATGATGAAGGTGATAATAGCAATGAAGACAGTTCTTCTGAAGAGGTACAGTACATGGCATTTTTCTGTTGAGCAGATCATTGTTAGACCTGACCAGGAATTTAGGGTATATTGGTATAAGGAATCTTTTAACCCTAGTATTCCATAAATACTCAGTATTTGTCTAATTTATGGGTATAAAGTTTTTCTTTTAATTTGTGGGGGATCCCAGTTGTTCCTGAAATTCTAGGTATATTAGTCACAGAACGAGAAAAATACTGTGGTATGTCTGCACCCCCCTTCCCCCAGGCCAGGTCTAAAATGTCAAATGACTTGCATTAAAAATGTGGTGCCATAGAGCAGAGCTTACGATTCTGTTATACTTTATCCATTGTGCACTGTAGCACCATTTAGCACTTACTTCAACCAATCATATGAGCTTATTGGCCATGAAATAAAAACGATCAGACATAACATTGCCACTGCATGGTATACAAAATCTTCTAGGCTGTCACCATAGACTGCACATGTACAGGACTTGCAATAGCAGTGAACTCTTGTACTGTGATTGGTTCAAAGAGTGTTGCCAATTTCATGTTACTTCTTGTAATTCTATAATTCTAATTTATTTATTTTAAATTCTTATCAGGAAGGAAATGATAAAAAAGGTGTTAGCGCGCTCATTGAAATTGAAAACCCAAACAGAGTGAAACAAAAAATGAAAAAAGTAACTGATATTAGTGTTGATGGGGAAAGTTCCGCGTCATCTACTCAGCTTTCACGTAGAGAGAGGTAAGTATTTCCTATTGGTTGTAGGGTGGCTATAGTATACCAGAAATTATTCTTAAGGAAGAACGAATCCAGGGGTTGGATTGGGTGGCCCCCTTTGGAGTTGAATTGTTTTTTAAACATTATTATAAAGGATAAGGTAAAGCCTAAAAAGGATGCTATATGATGCCTTTTTGGTAACAGCCACTCCCCCCTCCCCTCTCCCCCAAGTGTTTTGGATCCACCATTTCTATAAAACTCTGTCGGGATTTCGAAAAAGAAGTGAGGGTTAGAGTATGTATGTGTGTATGTATGTATGTATGTATCATTTTGATACTGATCTCAAGAACATCTTTACCTTGCTTATTCTTAAAATGGACAATACATCTAATCATACAATGGTAAATCTGTTATGACTTCAAATTTATAAGTTTGTGGTCTCATTTTTTTTACAGAGAAGAAATAGCAAAGCAGCAAGAAAAGATTAGATATCAAAAATTACATGCACAAGGCAAAACAGACCAAGCAAAAGCTGACCTGGCTCGTCTTGCAATTATTAGGAAAGAAAGAGAAGATGCCGCAAGGAAGAGACAAGAGGAAAAGGAAGGTAAGATTACAAGGTGTTGTAACCAAATAGACAATTATTTCAGAGTTGCTCAAGCGCTTTCATAAATATTGCAGGCACAGACAAAAAAGGACGAGGCATTTTCGGGCAGTGTTCTGCAGAAACCTTTGGAAACCATATAGAGTCATAGGCAATTTCTGCGACTGCAGAAAAGATTTATTCTGAAGTGAGCTACGTTTTAGACATAATCCTGATTCAAAACTAAACGAAACTTTAAATATATATAATTTCAAAGTTTTTGTGTGTTTTCCATAGCAAACATAAGACTTTGCCCAACAATGCCTCTTTTTTGAATCTGAGCCAAGGATACTTTTGGCAGTGCTCATACATTTCAGATGCAGCGATGCAGCACAATGAAGTTGAACTAAAAGCATTAAGCTCACCATGTTTTTTTTTTTCAGCCAGAGAAAAAGCAGCTGGAAGTAAAGGASGAAAATGAAGACATATTCACATAATTATTTGAATTCCAAGATACACATACAAAACTAGAGAATCACTTTAAGAAATTACATTTTAAGTTGCACTTTTTTWAGAAGACTGTCTGATGTTGCCTACTTTTAAAACAAACAACTCAGTGCTGCATATAGTATTTGGTTTTCTCTCTCTCTTTTTTTTTTGATTGTAAATTTATAATATTGTGTAATAACTAAAGACTTTCTGAAAACATTTCTGTACTTCTATTTAAAAATTGTACAACATTAGTCTGTTCAGACTTTACTAATAAAGGAGTTATTTCACTGAAGATCTGTGGTCACAGATRGAAACATCTGTAAATGAATAGTTTAAATTTTAAGTCAGACACAACAAATTAATATCAGTTTAAACCAGAATAAGGCAGACTAAGAATAAGAAAGAACACAGGTAGGATTCTACTTGGACTATGCATAAATTCTCTTTAGTTTTTTTTAAAATTATTTATTTTTGAGTTTAACCACTGTACATTTTCATTAATTTAGTTTTAAATCATTCCCAGTCGAGTGAAATAGTAACAAGATATGGCAGCCATGTTGGTTCATGTGACAAAATAATTCATGGACAATACTTGCTAAATTCAACCAAGATGGCAGCTATTTATATGGCTTTTTCTAACCAGTCAAAAAGATCTTGTGATGGAGACAATACACTGAATCTAAAGAGAGGCTAGTGACAGTCCCTAGTCAGTGCAGAGTAGATATTCAAATTCATCGCCATATTTCTGTTGTCTATTGTGCAGACACAGTCCATTAGGTAAAAGTGATKTAACTTGTCCCATGATAAAATGGATAAGCATAATATGTACATAGTAGTATACAGTAGAGTGCACACCAATATAGAGTGAAGGCATTAAACCCGTCAAATAAAAAATATTATCAAACTCATTCATAATTCATAAGGAAAACACATCAGAAATCACGAAGAGTGTTGTAAATCTGATACAAAACTGTGTTCATTTGCATAAACTTTAAGTTGGATTTTCTTGGCCAAATTCACTTTAATTTTGAAAATTTTAGTGAAACACAAAGGAACTAAGCTAGACGTTTGAYAAGTCATATACAGTATTCGTGTCCGTGTTGTATCAGATATACAATCACTCAGCTATGCCTCGTGGTTGTATATCTGATACAACACGGCCAGTCATACTATATATATTATTACCTAGTCAACATGTAATAGTGAAAAAGACACAAAAGAAAACAATGGAATTAAGGTCTACACTAACTGTGTATTAGACTAATATCTATTAGATGGGTTTAATGCCTTCACTCTGTCTGTGAAACAAAACTAAAGACGTAATGTCTATATTGCAGCTATCTCATACAAAATAAAGAATATAGAATAGATATACATGTCAAATCATAATATTATTGGATATTACTGATTTAATTGAGCAGAATCTATGAGTCTTTGTTTCRTTCATACCAGAGTGAATTCCTGAGTGGCATGCACTCTAATAGTCCCCTTCACAGTTCCTGCCCTGTCTTGAAAGGTAGCCATGCTTGTACATCAAAGCAAGATGAACGGTGAGCTTATGATAGACATGTGAATAATTGTCGAAGGTATTAAAAGAGGTCTCTATCATTGCAAGCTCATCATTCATCTTGCTTAGATGCAAAGGTGTGGCTATCTTTCGAGATGGCGCAAGGCATTGGTGTTTTACTTTGAAACAGTGTCATGGCCATGAATAATCACTCTTACTCTACTTGTTCTTACTAATAAAATATATACATTTGCTGCATTACATAGTAAAGTTAAGTAGTATATTCTGTCTAGGTTTGATATCCAGTTGTGGATAACAGCCCCACAGCTGAAACCAATATAAATTATATACATACTGCCATACCAGAAAACTAATATTCTTTAATATTCATTTTGAAGGGATTTCACTGAAATGTCAATGTCTTTGTTCCTTATAATATTTTCTTGTTAACTAGTACTTAACTTGTGCTGTTCCATAACATCATTTCATTCCATTGTGTACATTCCATTTTATTGTGTTGGTATCATCAAGACTTGTCCTCATTATACTATTACTGTGTCAACACAGAACTGCACGATCATTCCATGGCTGGCCTTATGTTGGCATCATCAAGACTCATCCTCATTACTCACCATCATTTGTTACATCATTACAGTAAAGTCAACACAAAGCTTTACATATAATCATTACATGACTGGCCTTATGTCGGCATCATCAAGACTCATCCGCAAGACGCATCAGCATTGTTTATTGCAGTCAAAACTGAACTGTAAATATAATCATTCCATTACTGGCATTGTGTCGGCATCATCAAGACTCATCCGCAAGACGCATCAGCATTGTTTATAATTGCAGTCAAAACTGAACTGTAAATATAATCATTCCATTACTGGCATTGTGTCGGCATCATCAAGACTCATCCTTCTCATGGTATTGGGACGTTCTCATGGTACTGTTACTAACAAATACTTAACTTAGCACTGGCAAATATTTATCGTGAACAAGGTCTGTCAGCTGATTGACTATGGCCCTAAAGGTGCTGTGTTGAAGGAAGCACCTTTGTGTGGAACATGTTGGTCTCAATCTCGAAACTTACTGCCAAACCTATAACACAAGAAATATGAAGTCAAATATTAAGTGAAATAAAGACCCCACATTTTTTTGGTGCACAAAGTAGAAGACAAAGATTTCCATCATGATAACTTCTGCTTGAGGTGTTGAAACATCATGCAGTTACCACCAACAACAGTCTTTCAATCTGAAGACTATACAAGTCATCTGGATGAACACACTCAACACACTCGTTCACATATTATTCATCTTGCATCAAAACCATCTACTTCATAATTAAGTAGAAACCATCTCAAAGAGGCCCACAAAAAGAAAGTYTGTTGCACTTTGCAACCTTAAAGTGGTTACCTTAACAGTACTGTCAACGGCACCAGAAAATATTCTTCCCTTAGACAGAGCTAAGGCAGCCACACTTCCTTGGTGACGGAGAAGGGTCTGGATGCAGGCAAAGTTCTCAAGATTCCAAACCTGGGGGGAAAAGATTGCAAATCAAATAAGCATACAACATACATAGAATGATTTTAATACATGAAATATATATACTGCAATTGAGTGCTTACCCTTAATGATCGATCATAAGAAGCACTGAAAAGCTTCGTTTGTCCTGGTGCACTGAGAACTGCTAGAGCATAGACTGTACCAACATGACCTGTCAGGGAAAATCATGGTGAGATTGGCGAACAGAACCGAAATTTGTACACAAAAAAAACATCAACAGTACATGTATCATCATCACCACCATCATCATCAACCAAAACAATGTTTGTGAGATACGCAGAAACTACAACAAAAAAGACCCATTCCATACCATGGCAGGAGCAGCAATGTCTGGACTATATACATTATAATGATTATGAGTAGATACTGACCATTAAGAGTTTCTACTAGTTTGTGTGTATTGGCATCCCAAATCTGAGCAAAGAATAATGATAATAACATTAAATGTTTTTGTAAAATACAAATTAGTAAAGCTACAGTACATCTCTTTGGAACCTAAATTTCTAAAACCAAAAAATGATTAAACAATTTGATTATGTGATGGCATACCGGTATTGAACAATTAGAGCCGAGGCCCAAACAGCCCCACAATGCACTGCAATGCAAATTTGACCCAGTTTTTTTCTCAACCTCTAAATAGCTAAYATGGTTAATGTTTGAGCTGATGCCTACTGACCTGAATGCAGTTCTCATAGGTGCCACATATTATGAACTCCTTGGTGACAGTCAGAGAGTAGACACTACCTCCTGTTGTCTGTAATACTCTCACACACTCCAGTGTATCTAGATCCCATAGCTGTTGATATCAAGACAAATGATAACTATTAGCCATATTAACATAATTATTTCCAGGGTGGTGTCTTTTTTGTGCTCTAAATAAATGCACTATTCCATGCACTACAGACCACTTTTATGTGTAATGATTAGTATAGGAAATCGCACGATCTCGAGTACAATTTGGAAATTAATAGACACGAGTAATGTTTTGAAAGTTCTTGTAGTTGCACGAGCCTTTAGGCGAGTGCAATTAAAGAATTTTCAAAACATTACGAGTGTCTATTAATTCCAAATTGTACAAGAAGATCGTGCAATTTTTTGTTTATAGTTCACTCAACAAAATTTCAGTAAAAAATGCGAAGCGACGCCATTCATCTTTGTCTATTTGGCGGCCGATTTTCAGCTTATCGCGCAACTGAAATGCATAAAAAATATTAGTTCTTACGGCTTAAAATTTTATTTATATGTTTTTTAAGTACAAAATGACAGAAAATAATTGTTTTGACATTGTTTTGTCCGTGTTGCCATAGCGACTTAATTCGGTACTCCTATGGAGTACAATTAACGCTATAATTGTACTCCTCTCGACCAATCAGAGTCGAGTAATTTTGTTGAGTGTACTATAAAAGGGTAAATTATACACAGTGAAAAGATGAAAAAACTGGCATTTTGGACGCTAGTCCTTTGTCGGAGTCTTTTACTCCGACGAAGGACTAGCGTCGGAAACATCAGTACGTTTTTTCATCTTTTCACGGTGTATAATTTACCCTTTAATCATTACTGTTTCATTAGAAACGCCAATGCAGCTCACACTAGTTTTTAGCTAGTTATCTCTACTTTTATGTGTACTCAAGTTTCTAGCTTTTTTTCTTAAATTTGTTGTTGTTTATTTATTTCATACCTTGATAGTCTGATAGGAACCACTATAAAGGTAGTTATCACTGGCTACAAGGGCCCGCACCCAGTGATTCAAGCCTGTTAACTCTTTCACAAGCTCCAAAGTATGAAGATTCCAGACCTATAGGAAATAAAAAATATATAATATATATGTATACATATTGTATAATAATATAAAGATAAGTCAATGAGCTGCTCAGAGAACTGTCTAGAAGTGTACACTCCAAATATCAATGGAGTGCATAATAATATCACATTCATGAAACAATTACTAACTAGTCCGAGTATGATGCACATAGGTATCATTATGATAGTTATCAGAATCAAAAAGTTTCTTTTTTTGACAGTTATAGCGAAGGAAAACAATACATGTTTTATCATATTTTTTATGCGCATGGATAGTAGAAACCTTACATGTAGCATTGAGCTCGTGATGTTAAGTGTCATGTATCATTTTCTTTCTACTATAATTCAATCAGGCATACACCAAACAAAGATGCATAGAGTATTTTGCTTTCATTTTCATTCTGCTCCAGTGATATCCCCTATAAGCTATTTTGTTGGAATAGTAAACAATAAACTATTATATACATCTCTGGTTTTGTTTYACACATATATGGCATGCACTCTAGTCTGTAGTCAGGTCTGTTGCTAGTTTATGATCAATGGACTACTTTGACAATATGGCAGCCATCTTKCCAAGGGGCAAACAAAACAAAAACAAGACAAAGATGAYGGRAAATATCTAGAATTTTGTGTTTGTCTTTCTTTTATGGGTAAAGSTGATGGATGTGCCATCTTAATTAATCTTYYGTTGTAGAATCTTGCGGTGAGCTATTAATACCAATCAAYGTCATTATTGTCATTTGACCCCGGTATGCCCCATAATGCCTTGCRACCCAAGATGSCCACTGYATCACTGAAGTAGTCCATTGTCTTAATACCTTGATCATCTTGAGTGAGCCACTAAACAAAGTGTCTCTTTTAGTAACCAAYGTACAGACAGGGTTCTCATGACCCTGGATCGTCTGTAGTAATTCTAGCCGTTCAATACTCCAAATCTATAAGCAAAAATAAAGATTTCAGCTACTAACAGGGACAGGCTAGCAAAGCACTCTCAAAGTGGCATGTATTAAGCAAGTAAGGATAAAGTCAATGTTTCAGTTGCAAATCAGCATGTTCTCAATACAATGTTGCAAAGAAAGAAATTCACAGGTGGTGCCGCTAACGCACCGTGGGGTGAGTAGAATTGTTTGTTGGTTCTCTCCTGYGCTTCRAGGGTTTTTCTCCGGGTTCTCCGGTTTTCCTCCCTCCTCAGAAATCAACTTCTACATTCCGATTTGAACTTTGGGCTTTCAACTAGTTAGAGCTTAAGCTCAGTTGGGATTGTCCCACGCTGTGATACGAGAGCTAAAGTTTAATAGATTAGTTGTAGATAAAAGTGGTTGAACTATGGACCCTTCCTTCCCCACCTGCTGCGCCCTCTCTGTGGTTCCTGGGCTGGATTGATGCAAGGCAGACGACATAAGAAATAAGTATTCTTAGCAAATGATCACTAAAAAGGATTGYGTACTTACATTTATTGTACAGTCAGATGAGCCACTAAAAAGCATTTTGCTGTGGAGTGCAAGAAATCTCAAGAGTTAGGTCCTAAATATTTACTAGGTATGCATCATCATCACCATGTTTTCCCTTTAGGCGTTTTCCAGCCTTAGGGCATTTCTGTGTGGATAGGATGGGGAATCTATTAATCAAAGACCTTATACCTTGGCCGTAATGTTTTCCCATATTACAGACTGTTTCATTTTCTTAAGGATAAGATTCTTTGTTTGATTTGTATCTATATTCATTAGAAAAAAAAGAATTGTATTGCCATTAGACTCAGACATGGTCTGAAACCAGAAAACATTATGCCAAGGTGAAGAGGTCTGTTACCAACAACCTTGGAAGGATGTAGATGTACTCACTCATGTGTCCGTAAGGCCAGTACAATACCAGTATGTCCTTCTAAGGTTTTAACACATTTATAGGTAGTAAGGGTGTCCCAAACCTGGAAATTATATGTAGAATACAGAGAACCAGGGCTTTAGTCATAGGAAAAAAGGTTTGATTTAAGAAAAGGATAGAGTTAAAATTATATAATAAGTAAAATGCACCTTGATGGTTTTATCTGATGATCCACTGAAAAGAAGATCTCCATAAACACACAATGCCCACACTGGACCCTGGAGAACAAACAACAAGACACCTTTAACCTAAAGAACAGAGTGACTGGCTTTTTTTTTTTTTCATTTTCTTCCCTTCCCTTTCTTTCCTCCTCTTTCTTCCTTTCTTTTGTCTGTTTGTTCTTTCGTTCATTCATTCTTTCATTCCTTCTTTCTCTTGTTCATTAGCTATCATAGGTTTGTTTGCTCTTTCATTTGTTTTTCTTTCTTTCTTTCATTTGTTCTTTTTTTCTTTTGATGTTTTTTTCTTTCGTTTGTTTTTTCTTTCTTTCCTTCCCTCTCCTTCCCCTTCTCATGTTGTCTTCCCTGGTTTTCTCTCCCTTCACTCTTTCCTTTTCTCTAATCCCTGTCATCCCTATGTTCTTAAGTATGTCAATCTGATTAAGGATTCAGAGCCACCAGAGATAGCAGAGCCACTTACCGTATGCCCAACAAATGTTCCTTTGCATTTAAATAACGGTTGAATATCGAATGCTGAAATTATAATCAAAAAGTGATRAAATTGATATTTATGAAAGGAAATGAATAAGGGAAACTACAAAGCAAGATTCATTGGCCAGGTGTTACATAGTCTATATTTTATAGATTTTGTGTTAGTGGGAATTACCACTAATATAAATATATATTATTAAGATTATTAAAAAAAAGATGCTATGTTTGAATATGGGTGACT